GGCGGGGAAGCCGCGGGGCTCAGGTGGCGCAGCCCCGGGCGGAGCGGCCGGGCGTCTCGGCAAAGCGAAGGCTGAGGCCGTGGTGCCGCCGCGGGGTCGGGGGCTGGGGAGGCGCCGGCCCCAGGGTCCCTCCCGGAGCCTTCTTCCCTGAGGCCGCGCTCTAGCTCGGCCGTCGCTGAGAGCACACGGGATCGTGAGCGACGCGGCCGACGAGTGGTATCGGTCTCGAAGTCAGCGGAGGGGCAGCGAGGGTGAAGCAGGTGTGGGTTCGTCTTTGCTTGCCAGCTCCTCGGTAAGTTTGTGCTCGAGCGAAGAACAGCAGCTGAATGCTGCAGTTGTTTCGTTGCTGCCTCTGCCTGAGTTGCCCAGCCTGTGGTGGCTGTACCGTCCCTCTCCGCGAACCCATACCTCATTCATACAAAGGAAGGGAGTATCCCCTAACCGAAGCTGGGGCAGGTAGGATTGAGGACGTGTAGCCCATCTCTAGGAGATGTTTGCTTAGTCTCACATGAGGGCTTCCAGCGGAGAAGTAACAGAGTGCAAGCAGTGTGGTTTTTTGCTTTGCCACCTTTGTGGTTGGAAAGCATCCCCTTGTACCTCACCTGACTCTCCTCAGCACGGATGCAGCCAACTACTTGCCCTAGACAGGGAACACGAAAAATGTTGGTTGGCTGTTCCCTGTAGCTCATCTTGCCTATATTAGGGTAAATGCATTCATTTTCTTCAACTCTTTCTTCCTAGGTCACATTCTCTAGATTGCTTCTTGATCATTTTACTTCCTGTTGCTTTTCAAGATTTTGTTTAGAGGGTAATATCTCAAAAAAATGAGGCATTTCAAGTGCAGCGCTGAATGTATGTTATGAAGATGTGTCCTTTCTCTATTACAACTGTATTAATATAGGGAAACAGAACCTGAGGGCTACAGTGTGACCCCTCTGTAGGGCCTGTTGCTATGTTTGTCTCTGTATCACCCAGTAAAATACTATGAAAGTCTACGTGATGAGCAAAAATATCTTGCCTCCAGGTTTGCATGGCACTGTGATTTAATGAAAGAAACACCGATGAATCTTTTTAGTGGGAATACATCAACTTGTGTTCCCTTTCCATAGCTGTATTCATTTCCTTATTATCTGTGTTATTTTAATCTGCTGTGATTGAAAGTGCATGAAGACGTAACACCAAAATTTAAAACTATGCATGTTTATACCTTGAGATGAACTTACTGGAGCAGTTAACTGCACTGTAGCAGTAGATGTGTGTATCAGTTAAGCTGCAGCAGTCACTTGTTTTAACAACTACTCTGAAAATCAAAGTCTTCCTGGACTTTCAAGTTAGATTCTGACTCACTCTTTACTGCTTCTGAATTAGGCACATGAAGATGAAAGATGTTGTACTTGTTTTTCTGCTGAGACTTTAAATAGTAAAAATTAGAGGATTTCTTAATACATTTGGTCAGAATTGTTAGGTACAAGCATCTCTTGTTTTCTAGCATGCAAGTCACTATTACCACTTTCTATCTGTGGAGGTGTCACTGTATAACCTCAGAACTCCTGAAACTTGAAGAAAATACTGAAAATATGTCCAAATCAGCTAGGAATTTCCCATCTCTATTTTTTTGTTTTAATCTGTTTGCTGACAAGTGATTTTTAACTCTGCTCCTTTCTGAGGAAAGAGTACTAAGGTCTATGCCATGTCTTTCTCATATTATTTTGTAGCCCTCTGGATTTAGAACAGTGTTCCCTCAAAGTGCTGGAGCCAGAAGGAAGTCCCAGCTGGAGTCTCCTGAAACTACTGGGAGATCGCGGTTGCACTGTGGTGGAGCTTGTGGAGTTTTTGCAGGCCCTGGAGCATACAGAGGCTCTCCAGTGTCTCAGCCATTCAGGTCAGTTCTAGTTTGTGCTTTCATTGCACCTGTGTGTTTTACACTGGGAACACTGAAGTATTCATTTTCTTCAAAGAGTAAAAACATTTTTAGTGTTTGAATTCTAGTAATTGGTATTTGTATGATGATTACCATAGTAATTGGCTCATATGATTTGGAGATTAAAAGTAAGGCAAATAGATAAGCAGGCTTAATGCAGTATTGTTGTAGACTTGGACTTGGCTGCATGGATATGACAGGTGCTGTCATTCCCTCTGCTGATTTGGATTCTGTATCAAGCTGTGCCTTTGGGAGATGCTTATAGAACTGAAATGGTTGAGTTAGAAAGACAAGTAGTGTTGCCAGCCACTTGTTCGGGCTACAGGTTTCATTAACTGCATTTCATAGCTTACCCTAATTGAAGGGGAAGGGTCCAATTAGTGCCAATTGTGGTCCATATTGGATGCAGTCCAACTTGCTAACTGGACAGAAAAACAGACTAACTTAGGATAGAACTAGATGATTTTCTACTAACACGTTCAGCTTGCTGCTTCACAAAAAGTCTAGGAAGTGGGGCAGTGCAAAGGGAATGCATGTGTAAGACCATGTAGACCAAGTGCTTCTTGCTATAGTACAAAACCAGGTCCCTTTTTTATGTCCTCCTTCTTCAGGATGTGAAATTCAGCCTACTAGGAAGTTACAAAAGCTTCTCTTCAGAGCGGGAAGTGGAAATTAGACTAGCAAGCTTCTTTCCATACTGATAGCTGTCCTGTTTTTTTGGACAGTGTGAAAAAAGAAACCATGGGCTGAGAACCATTGTTAGGACAACCTTGGAATTTTTCAAGTAAACTACAGTAATGCTTTGCAGCCGTTTCATCTAGTTAAGGCTGCTGCTTCTTACTGTACTAGGAGGACTACGTTGTGTTGAATGAGGTGTGATTGAGTTACACGATAGCTGAAGTATACCACTGTAGGCTTGGCGAGTAGAGGGGAATTGGTGTTATATCAGTGTGAGCGGATTGCGCTTATAGGGGCAAGAGTTGAGGTGGAGGCATAGGCGGTAGTATGCTGTCCTGCACTATGAATGCTTGCTCCTTTTTGTTGTTCTCCATATGGTGGTTACTTGGGGAGTATTGAAAACAAGAATGGTCCTGGTTCACATTTGTGCTGCAGGGTGTCTGCACTGAGCCAAAGTGTTGTGCTTGCTTGATCTCCAATCATCTCGAGTATCACCACTGTTGAACTGAGCGTTTGTGTGTGGCTGGCTGTCAGTCAGGTTACATTTTGAAATATGTAATGAAGACTAAATCCTGGGTAAAACAGGAACTTGCTACTAGCAGAATTGTGAGATAGTGGTATCGATTAGGGAACTGGATAGATAGCTTATATATCCTTGTATGGAGCAGAACAAGCCAATAAGTAGACTTCTGTCAAGACCCCTTGGAACTGCAGAGGTGGTCTTGTTATAAATGAGTCTCTTGCAGAACAGTATGATCTGTGATAGAAAGGTTTCACCGTCCTCTAAGGAGGACTGGGTAGCTTCAGAGAGACTGAGAAACTGGAACCAAGAGAAGCCAAAGTGAAGAGTATTTGAAGAAATTTTAAGTCAAAAAGAATTTTAAACTATTTAAAAAGAAGTGGTAGGCCTTGATATTTGCAGTGAGTTTATTTAAATGTTCAGGGGTGGTTGATACTTGAAGTCAAAGTACAAATTCCTAACTGCCCGTTTGTTCTCATACACCAAAAAGAGCTTAAGTGTTGCTCAAGTTCCTTTAGGAATTGGATTGTTTAATGTAAGACCTCTATAGCTGTCATCCTGGTTTGTTAGACTGTTTTCTATCAGCTTAGTTGATGTAGTTAAAAAGACACAAACCTTTATGAGCCTATGAATGTACTCGTTAATGGGTGTACAGTTCTGATGCTGCTTAGTGGTCTGTTTTGGCAGTGATACTACTTCAGGACCTTTATGGCAGAGATCTATTGTTACAAGTTGGGGCGTTGCTTTGTTTGCAGCAATATAAAGGATCTCGGAGAATCATGGACTCTGAGAATCAAGTTCCAGACCTTGTTTGTATCTCAGAGTTTAGAGACTTGCCTGTCACATTGGATTAACTCCATGAAAGATCTTCTTCCTATAAAGACACAAAATAGTAGTAATAATAGTAATAATGACTTTAAAACTTCTCCTTTTTGGTCATGAGAAAGCCTAGGCATCTTGTTCCTTGCATCATCTCTCTATCTCTTTTCTTCCCTTTATTTATTTTGTCATGTTGTGAACTTGCTGGAAATGAATGAAATGCAGTGAGCTTTCTCCCAGGCTAAGTAGGAAAAAGGCTTATTAAGTGATTTGTGGTGTTACAGTCTAGTCCTTGTGCAACCTCACTGACTTACGTCGATTGAAACAAGAGCAAAGAGGTGTTTTGCCTCTCCAGGCAGGTCTCTTACTGCAGCAGTTTAGGCACTTCAATCTGAATGTGAGTAATTGAGGCTGAGTTTCCAGAAATGACTGAAAATGTTTACCAGCGTGTAAGCTAAGAACGTAACAGTTGGATTATAGTTAAGATTGTAAGTACTTCATTTGCACTGCATGTTTCAAAGTCTGGTAACCATAAATGTAAGTTTGCCATCCTCAATGGTAAAACTTTCCTTTTTCCAAGGAAAATTAAAGAAGTATTTGTGTATTTTTGTAATCATTCAGAAAATTGAGCCAGAAGGTTTTCTTTTTGAACCATTAAATTCTGTGATGCTTGCAGGAAGTAGTTGTGTAGTGTTGAATGAATCGCAGGAAAATAAATGGAACTGTGAAGAAATTATGAATCAGATTTCTTGGAACTTGTTTGTAATGCTTCTAAGGAGTGCAAAATACTAATCTTCAGAGAATTTTTTTCTCAACTACTTTCTTAAGAGATGTTAGTGATGCAAATCAGGAGAGATTTAAAAAAAAAAGTGGAAGTCTTTGGAAAGAGCAAGTCTTCTTAATTTTTCTGTCCTTTAAATTGAAATAATATAATTCCTGTTTGTCTTGGTTAGTGTTAGGTGATTGTGATGCTTGAAAACTGTACTTAACGCACTCCCCTTAACTATGAAAAACAGCAGAGGAAGTCTTAAATGAGGAACTGAGGTAGTGATATTCAGGGCTAGGGTATAAAGGGAAGTTATTTTAGAGAAAGAAAGGTAGGGAATTTTCAAGTCCTGTAGCTACTTTGGAGTAGCTGCCTGTGTGATCAACTATTTCAGAATAAGACTGTGTGTGGAGGAAGTTAATATAGCTCACTTCCCTGCTAGACAAAGATTATGTGATTTCCAAATGTTGTATTGTCTCTGTTTCAGTCTGTTGGCCACATGGGTTTCTGCTCAGGTTTCAGCCCATTGATCAAATTGTTATGGTTTCTTTCCTCAAACATTCTCTGTTAGGAAAAAGTTCTGATGCGTGGCTAAACTGTTATTCATGAGGCAGGGCGGGGGGGGGGGGGGGGGGGAGAAAAAAAAAAAAACTCCTGGCAGAGTGTAGTAAGAAGGCTTATAGCAAATGATAATCTTGAGTCTTGTACCAGGATATTTGTGATCTCTTTGCAGCTACTTTTTTTACACAGTGTCTGGTTTACTCTATACTGTTCTGTAAGATTATTCCCCCAGCAATCTGGACTACTGCTTCTGTACCAGACTACACTTTCAGCTTCTGCAATGTGTTTTCATTAAGCTGTAAAGAAGAAACTACGTTCTCCCAAAACAGGGAAATTAGACTGACTCTAAAAAAAAAAAAAGAAAGTTTTAGTATGTATAACTGTTCTGTATCTGATTGTTCATTTCTGAGTGTATTGAAAAGGTGATGAAGTGCCTCTGTACCATTCACTATTTCTGTGCTTTTTCTGTAACTAGTTGTACTGGCCGTAGCTAGGATAGAATTAATTTTCTTCATAGCAGCTCATATGGCGCTGTGTTTTAGATTTTTGACCAAATCAGTACTAATAACACACCGATGTTCTAGCTTTTGCTGAACAGTGTTTGCACAGCATCAAAGCCTTCTCTGTTTCTCACTCTGCCACCCCAGTGAATAGATTAGGAGTGTGCAGTAGACTGGGAGGGGACACAATTGGACAGATGACCCAAACTAACCAAAGAGATATTCCCTACCATGTAACATCATGCTCAGCAATAAAAGGGAAAAGAGGGAGTTTTGGAGGGCCTAGTCATCTTTTGCTTAGGAACTGGCTGGACATCGATCAGTCTACTGACAGGAAGTGGTGAGTGATTGCCTTTGCATCACTTGTTTTGTTTTCTTTCCTATTCTTCCACTTATCCTTCACTTATTAAACAATTATTATTGTTGGTTGTTGGTTAGTTTTATTTTGGCCTCCAAGTTTTCTTGTTTTTATTATTACTTTCCCTCTTCCCCCATCGCACTGGGGGTAAGGGACTGTGTGGTGCTTATCTGCCCACTGGGGTTAACCCACAACACTAGTATTGTAACAACTAGTCATTAATGTGTAGTATTGCTTGTGGTCCCACAGGAGTTGTTAAATGCATTTTACCATCCATAGCAAATAATGCTTTAAACTAATGATTTTTTTGATGGCTTATCAGCTCAGTGTGGCTGAACACCTTGGTCATCGGTCCATGTGTTTTTTTGACAGCAATGTGAGGTTAAACTTTCTGTTCTGCAGTTGACTTCTCCCCCTGCTCCTCTTCTTCTGGTGACCTTGGTTATACCAGTGGATCTGTTTTTGGGGTCATGCTGTAACAAGATCTCTGGAATGGTCTAGGTTAAGAAAATAACTGGATCATATCAGACTGGTGTCAGAATTTCACACATGCTATTTCCTGGCAGTTAAAATTTGACATGGAAAGTTTTACCTTGCATATTGGGAAAAAAAAAACCTAGCCCTGCGTTCTACAGGAGTTGAAGGCATAAAGCTGAAACCAATGTTTCAGCTAATAAGATTGCATGAGGAATAGTAGAAAAACGCGCTATGTTGTAGTTGACTCTTACTGTTTTGATCCATCCCTCAGGCTGTGCGTAATCTTAGGCTGAAGATTAACAGCTCAAAGAAATTGTTGGGAATGAGCAAACACTTAAAACTTGGGAATACCTTTCCTAGAAGCATTCTGTGATGCCATTGGAAGTATTATTTGCTTTAGTGAGAAGAGAGCAAGAGGGACTGAAGTATCCAAAAATTAAAATGTCTGAATGATCTACTTTGAATCCTCAATAAACTCTGTAGAGTACTGATCAATTTGAGCATGGATTTTGTGTAATGGAAGACAATTTTGAATGTCTTAAAGTCATATAACTACTTGGAACTGTGCGTATACACAGTACAAACAAATTATTTTCAAGTACATTTAATGACAGAAACTTTCTTTGCTCAAAGGACAATTTAAATGCAAATTTAAATTGTGGAATTGTATTTCTTAATAACTTTCCTTTGTGTAAATTCTTTTTTAAAGGTATAAAGATTGTTGTACAGCCAGATTCTCAAGCAGTGCTCTCTGGTCAGGTCGTCAAGCTATGTTGTTGGGCAACAGGACACCCATTTGTGCATTACCAGTGGTTCAAGCAGGAAAAAGAGGTAGTAGTTGATACAGAATATAGGTGTTTTAAATGCTGAAAATAATAGGTAATGATTTTGGATGATTTTTTTTTTAAGACTGTTACTCTTATTTACAGTGAGAGAAGCTTGCTATGTGTACTAATAAAAATAGGGGTTTAAGAAATGCTGCATAATGACCCTATCAATGTGCTAAAACAATAAGGTGGTTCTTTATATTCAGACGACTTAATCCTTGGAGGCTAATCTTGGAATGTGACAGTAAGGTAACTGTAAGTTTAGTTGTCTCTCATCCTACCAAGAAGTTTAACACAGGCCACTGAGAAACTGCCACAGTGGAACAAATGCCAATCACTGTTGGGTTGGACATATGGAAACTGGTTTTCTGAGAATGGACAGTTGAAGGCCTGAATTCAGTAGTGCCACAGGCTTCTCCAGTGAAATACTGGAATGCATGTGAGCTGGTATCTCTGGAATTTGAATGGCAGCACTTAACGCCCATATTTCTGGTCCTGGTTATCTTTCTACAAGATGAATGCACTTTTTTCTTAATGTTATTTTATTGTAAGTACTATTTTTAAAAATGCAGTAAGTTTATGGTATTTTAATTGCTGTTAGGACTGAAATTTTTAACTCATTTCCTATACCTTTCTAGAAGTTTATCTAGATCATCCAAAACATGGCTTAAAAAATATGATTACAGTAATTTCCTGTTCATTGCAGTTAAAATATACATGTAGCAAAAAATTATTTTTCTGTGAAAGAATACTACAATTTCCTGGTCATAGTTGAATATATCTTAAGACTAGAGCTGAATGTAATACACATGCTGGTTGGAGTAGTGCTTAAGAAATTATTCCAAGTTATTTGTGGAAAAAGGTAAAAAATTATTAATTTCAGGAAGAGCTTTTCAACTGGCTTAAAAGCTCAGAATTGTTGTAAATAGAGGCATATGAATTATTCTTGGAAGAAAGCCTGTCTCTGAGCTACTAAATACATAGAACAAGACTTTCTCATCTGAAAGTTTCAAGTAAATGAAGGAGTTGAGGCTGGTGTTATGAACATTGAAATAAATACTCTAATGTTTGATCCTGGTTTAGAATAAATCAATCTAAATTTAAATATTTCTTGGTTCACCTGTAATTCAGGTTCCCCATGGTAATTCTCCAGAGCTGGTTTTGAATCCGGTGAATGTAGACGATTCTGGCTTTTACATCTGTCGAGTGAACAGTGAATCTTCCTTTGTGTTCAGTCGGTGGGCACGACTTGAAGTTTGTGATCTCCAGGGTACGTCTCATGGTGAGTGGCAAAAACATTGTCTTCTGAAAGTCTGTCTTCCTGCTTGTTAGAGGAACTTGGGTCCCTGTTGCTGTCTTGGACAGATATGAAAGAGTGCTGATGAAAAATGTGGTATCCAGTCATTGGGCTCTTGTGCTGGTCACAAAAACAGAAGAGAAATGAAGTTCCGCAGTGGTGGATAAGAACAGACAGATGGAAGACATACACAGTCTCAGATCCTTTTAATTCTTAGAGGGTTCTTGGACCAAAGAAGCAGTTCTTTAACTCTCTTGTTGTTTACCTGTTTATCTCTTGTAACTTGCTAGTGACTGGACGCACAAAGTCTATTCTGAATGTCTGCCACATGGGCTTTGGCATAATAGTCAGGACTGTTTGTTTCCCCTTTATCTGTGTGCTGGCAGTCTGAGAAGATAGGTACTTGGGTAAAGGAGAATCTAATGAGGTTCTCTGCCTTCCTAGAAAGAAGTCCTACCTTACCTAGAAGGTCAAAACAGTAAACTTCAGAAAAGCACATGCGTGCTGGAGGCCTGGACACGTTAGAAAACCTGTGGAATGGAAAGAGGGTTAACTGCAATCTGAGGAAACAGGACTGAGGTCTGGAATAAGGTTTGGCAGGGAACGAAGTGATAGATCTCCCTTCCAGTCACTTTTTCAGATCATAATACGCTATAGACATGTACCAATCAGGAAAGATAAATTGGTCAAAGCCCAGCACGTTCATTCTTTGCCAGAACATCTGGGGAAAAGAGAAACTGGTGCTCCATGGCTATGTATGTTGCAGAATATGTTTGCTAATGCAATCTTTTCAACTTCATATAATCAACTCAGATAGCAGTGAAGACGACATGCCAATAATTTACTGAAATAAACCTATGAGAGGAAGAAACACATGAGTTAAACTGAGTCTCTCTGGTGTGAATTGCATCTTCATGGATTTTATAAATGATCAGGTAACAGTCAAATGTGTGTTACCTGCGTAAGAAAAGCCATAGTAATTCAACTGTACCAATGTAAGTCCATATGAATTTATGGCACTGGCTTGAAGATACCTCTGCTTCAGTGATGGGTTAATCTCCATCTGCTGCATACATGATGAAAGTATGGAAGTGGCAGAAGTGTGAGAAGAATGGAATAATAGCAGAAAGCAAGTAAGATTAAATAGCTGTCTTCTCAACAGTATCCAGCTAGTACTGGAATTTGTTACTGGAACATAAAGAAAATCTTGGAAATTTATTTCTTGGATCTAGTATATTAATACTATGCATTTATTTCCAGTTTCCTGAGGTTACTGGAGTGGCGTCTTTTTATTTTCTGGTGTGTGTAGGTTTTTTCATTTTGTTTTGTTTTGGGTTTTTTTGGTGTTTGTTTTTTTTTTTTTTTACAGAATAGTCAGTTGCATTAAATAGGCATTGACTCATGCACTAAGTCTACCATTTATAAACTTTCTAATTAAATAGCTTGGACTTGCTTGCTATTGGCCCAAAGATGAGTGAGATAGAAATCAACTGCACTGCCTTCAGACTGTGAAGAGTACTTATTTTGTCTTATGTCACAAGTCAAAGGTGTTTTCCACTTGCATCCCACATATAAAAATGATTCATGTCAGGAAAAGAGATAGAGAGAACCGACCTTCCAGTAAAAGATCAAAAGCTACTGCGATGTCATTTGAGATGACCTTTTTACATCTTGATCTCGAACATACTCTTGGTCGCTTTTCTAAGCAATTATTTCTTCTGCTTTTCCTTTGCTCCTATTTCAGGTTCTATTCAGTTAGAAACCTGCAGTTTTAGATCTTGATGAGTGTACCAGGAAGCCAAGATTAATCACCTTGTAATGACTACTTTTAAGAAAAAATTGAGAAAAACTGCAGTATATTGTTTCACACTTGTGGCAAAAGTTTTGGTGACTAAAGGGCAGCAGGTATCCACAGCCTAGTGCCTTGCTTTATGTTCCATGACTCTTGGCCAACCAGGAACCATAATGGAAGTGAATTTTAGAATGTTTAGATCTTGGTGATGGGTAGAAGGATGAGGGGCAGGATGGATTGCTCTTTCCTGTAACTTTCCCTCTTAGGGTCCTTACAAAGAAACCTAAAAGGGCTATGTAGTGCTTGCATTGAATAAATGCTTTCCATCTTCTGCAACATTTGGCCTGGGATTATTGGTGTTTCAGTTGAACTACAGGACACTGACAGTACTGTTTCTGCAAATGTTGACTAGGTATGAAATCTTCTATTTCAGCTGCTGGCTGTCTTTTTTTCCTTTTCCTTTTTCCCTTGGTTGCTTTCTTTTTTCAGATACTTTTTTCCTCCTCTCTTTTCATTGCTTTCTGTTTGATGAGAGCTTGACCATTCTCCATTCTGTAAAAGCTGTCTTTCACAGCTGTCTTGTGAGCTTGTGATGAGTGAAGCAGCCAGACACAATTCTGAAAGATACTGGTACAGGCTAATTAGCGTATTTTGTGAGTGGTACAACAGGCTATACCAACAAGGGCATGTAAATGAGATGGCAGGTAAGGGGTCCCACTGGAGACAGAAGCCATGTTATCTTTCAATCTTATGTTCTCTTTCACTATCTGTAACTTCTGTGGTCCTTGTCTTAAAAGCTAATCCTGTCTAATTTGACTACAACAGCAGTTCATTTCCTTATCTTGCTTCTGTCTTCCTGCCCTAAAGGGAATTCAGTTCTTTACATTTGTTGAAAGATCCTGATATCAAACTGGGACATTGAGAGGGAGGGAAGGGGAGAGAAGGTTCTGTAAACAGCTGAGTGAAAGGGAGTGAAGTTTATTTTGACACAGAAAAATCTTTTCTATGATAAAACTTATAGAAAACAAAGCTTTTTGTAAGAAAAAAAACAAACCAACAAAGCAATACCATTATAGAAGTTGATAGAGAACACAGGAAGCCAGGGTCTCTGTATTTGAAATGGCATACAGCAGTGGTCATAGAACAGAATATTTGCTCAGGTATCTGTCAGTCTTTTTACCAGTATCAAGTCTGCATTAGGAAATACAGCTTTCTTTTAAAAATGCTAGTCAACATGATCATAAATATGAAACACCTGTTTGTAAAATCTCTGAAGTACAAATTTATAATGCGCCAAGAAGCTCAGACACTAGTAGAACAGAGAGATATACATATCATTGTCTCCCTTTATTTTACTATGCAAAAGAAAATGTCATCACCCCCTAATTGTCAGTCATGAATAGCTCTGATGACAAAGCACGTGTCTACATACGTAGCCTAAAAGTAAAGATGAGTGACCTTGCAGCTGAGATAAAAGATCACTGGTGTGACCTTTACAAGTAGGTCTGGGCTTGCTGTAGTATGTGTCAGTTAATCGAACTGTTCAGTACACAGAGATCAGAAACCTTTTCAGTGGAGGACTCTGGTATGTGTAGTGGATGTTTTAAAAATTAATTTCAACATTTTGTTTTAATAAATTTTATCATATATAGAAACTTACATCAGCTGGACAAGTATTTAATGCATTTAGGGTTTTCTGAAAAGGTCTTTGCCAAAGACATTTCTATATGGGGACATGTCAGCAGTTGGTGTTTGTTAAACGTTTTTAGCTTTGCGCTTTTTTGGTATATTTACCATAAGGTTTAATGCTCAGTTTAGAATGAGAAGAATAGGGATATGCTAAAACTAACTGATTTTAAGTTTTAAATTCTTATTCCTGTGTACACACTTGCACACAAGTTGGATCCTCAGTCTGTCCTTCAGTAGCCACTCTTCTTTGTACTTGCTCCTTTCTCTGCAGCCTTTATAATCCTACAGGCAGGAATAAATAATGCAAAGAGTCGTTTGGGTTTTTTTGCTTCTGAGGTATATTTAATGTGCATTCCTTTTTGCTTTTCAACTGAAGAACTGGAAAGCCATTGTTACTCATTTTTAGCATACTCTTAAAGGACAGGTAACTTCATTGCTATTAAAAGTCTGTTATAGTTACACGAAGATGCAGCCATATGTCGTCAATTCTTACTATCTATATGCAGTTAGATTGTCTCATCCTTTCTTTTCTTTTTTTATTCTTTTTTTTTTTAAGGGAGCTTAATTGGTTTGCCTGAAAACAAGTTGCGCATTTGTATTCAGCCTCAGCCACAAAATCTGATGGTGGGGGATGCTTTGGTACTAGAATGTGGAGCTGTTGGAAACCCAATTCCTCATTACCAGTGGTTCAGAAATGGATTTCCCTTGGCAAATGGGAGCAAAAATGTGTACATGGTAAGTTACTGCAAAGTGCCAGCCTTGGGGGACTGATGTGTTTCACTTACCACATAAAGCTTCCTTGAAGAAAATAACTTCTTCATAGACTTGATAACCTCTTATGGAAGCGCTCACTAGAAGTTGTTCTCCTCTACTGTTGCTCACTTGCCCGTACTATTCTGAGGCTCTGGGGTACATAATTTTGATCCTGAACATGTTTCAGGTGGTGGGATGTAAGGCTATAGCGTATTTTGGATTGGTGTGACGTATTGACGTAACAAAGATTAAATATCAGTAAAAGTGAAAGCTTCTCTTTCTATCTTGCACTGCAAAGCACTCTGATTTGTACGAGCTGTTGCATTCAGTGCTTAATGCATCTCAAGCCTGTGAGGTGGATTTGTATTCTTCAATTCTTGAAAGCATTTCTAGAACGTTGTCGCGTTAAAGAGTGAAGAGGTTTGGCAGAAAATAAACCCCCTTGCATTCCAGCTTATCCTCAGATATCAGAGGGGTTGGGGGCGGCTAGGCTTAGATTCTGAGTGATGCCCAATGCAGCACTGTAAGTCCCGTCACGTTCAATATATTGAACTGCCACAATTACGGATGCACTAATAGCACACTGTACTTTCCATTTAGTTGCATTCAACAAACTAGAATGGCTAGACTTAAGGAGTTTGGTTGTGTTCAATGAACTATCACGGATAGATTAATGAACAGTACAGTTTATTAAAGCAACAGGAGTACAGGTTCTTGTGGATTGCCAGTGATAAATACACTGTCTGCAAAGCACGTGCAAATAATAATACAGTCGACTACAAGCACACTAAATTATGGAAAAACTTTACAGAGATTTCTAAGTTTCCCGGGAAAGCACTGAGTAAAACTGAGGGTTCGAATCTTACCCAATAGGTGTCCCTATGGGGGGAAAGAGAGGTTCAGCCTGTTGACTGATCCCAGAAGTCAGCGATGTCCTCCTGACTTGTCTATGATGGTATCTTCCCAAGCATTCCTCCTCTCTTAAGCCCTTTTATACTATTTTCTTATTTTAGGTGGAGCTTGAGTGACTCTAGTCATACATACCTTTATTATGATTGGTGTAAAATCTCCTCGCTTTACTTTTAAAGGTACACGCTAGAGAAAATTCAGAGCGCATGCTCAGTGAGGGGTGGTCGCACCTTAGAGGCAGGTAGCTTTTGGGATTGAGGTGCGTTTTGGTATTATAATGAGATTATAATGAACAAAGTTCACCCAGAGGACATGATTTTTTGTGTCAGTACTCCAGAACAGGGCACTTATGATATAAATCAGAAGTAGGGCAGCAGGTTGACAGAACCCCCATTATTTCACCTCCTTGCTTCAGTGGATTCAATGCAGGGACCTACTGTTCTTGTTCCTATTGTTGCAGCTCCCTGTCCCTGTGATGGTATCACAGAGGCTGGCTGCGGTGTCTCCACTCCACTCCACCCTCCATGTTGCTTCTCTTAGGGTCAGCATACCAAGCTCCCTTGGTGTTGCTAACATCTAAGGTTGCAGGTTATGTTGCTTAGGGAATTATTATGGAACAGATTCCTTGCATATCCACTGCATTCCACCTTGGAGGTTTACCTCCCGTTAAGGGGGGTGGGGGGGGGAAGCATATCAATAAGTCACTTCCAGCAATCATTCCACAAACATACGTGCTGTCCAGCTTACTGAAGAATGAGGGTATCAGCAGCTTTTGGATTTGGTTAGGCTTTGCTTTTTGTTTTTATTCTTTCTTGCATGTGGGCTTAAATGAAACTGATAGAGCTACTCTTCTGGGGTCTGGTGGAATGACTGTAATGATGGTTGCATAGGTAACTTATGCGGATGTGGAGCATCAAGGGACATATTGGTGTCATGTATTCAATGACCGGGAAGATCAAGACAGCAAGAAGATAGAAGTTGTTATAGGTAAGGAGTTTTTCTGTTTGATATAGATCAACTGATTTATCAATTTCTTCCCTGTCATTAGAATTTGTTTTTGAAGCTTTCAGTATAAAGCCAAGCACATGCCTTCTGTATTTTTAGTGTACCCATTTGTTAAAATAGCTGTGCTTGCTTGCAACAAATGGAATTTTAGAGCTTTACAAGCTAGAAAGTGCTTTGGGTTTTTATGGTAACCATCATCGAAGTGCTACCACTCTTTGGCATTGCTAGCATGTACACAGCTTGTCAGCCGATTGCAAGCTCATTTCTTTATGTTTTTTGACAACTAAAAACCAGTTTAACCCTTGTTGGTGATAATGAACTGTGTTACGCTGAGCCCTTCAGCAATCAGGACAGGTGAGATTATTCATAGCAGGCAGAATAAATTAATGTAACATGGTTTAGTGTGTGTGCATGTGTTTGCAGTAAACTAAAGAGAAGATCTGTTTGTATAGCTTCCAGATCTATCTGGGAATACTATTGCGTAATTCATATGGAAAGTTCTTTCTAAGAAATATTCTAGTTTAGTACTTCTGAGTTCTAGTAATAATTACTATATAGTGTTGTGGTCAGTGCTGATTTATACTGCTATAAAATGAGCCAGATTGCAGAGAAGATTGGAATTGACCTTTGTCTTTCACTTTGTGTGCTGACTCTCATCACTGAGAGCAATTGTCTTCCAATTTTCTCCCCTGCCTCCTTAAAACACAAGGAAGGAAAGCTATGGCAGTGGAGTGCGCAGAAGGTAAAGTAAATCTTTAGCTGTGAATCAATTTTTAAAAATTAATGGTGGGGATGACAGACTGTTGAGTGTGTTGCTGAAAAGCATGTGTGGGTTAACAGCTTCAGTCTATTTTAAAATGCTGATGTGTGATGCAATGTTCCTTTTGCATGTGCTTCTCTCTTCTTTGCCTTGATACCGTGATCTAGAGCACATGGGAGAAAAAGCAAGCTACTTTCTTCTTCTGTAGTATTCAAAGTTGTTTGATTTTTGCACTATTTTTGTGTCTTGCGCTTAGAGTTTCTAGTGAAATGTAAAGATCTTGAGATTTCTTTGGCTGGGCTCGGGAGGCAACATACTTGCAAGAAAAGCTGAAGATGTTTAGGAATCTGGGTGACCTTACAGAGCTGGATAAAGCTAGTTCCACTGTCAGCTCTGTGTCTGCAAGCAGTGTTTCCAGCAGCCTTATTAGGATGATTTCTGTTCCCCTTTACATTGCTGCAATGGGGAGGAAGAAGTGTATTGTGACCTTTAATGTTGATGCCATCCCTTGATTACTGAGCATCTCAAAGTCTGTAATATATGTGACCCCCTATGATGTAAATAGATGTAAGGCAACTTACAGCAGCCACCACCCCCGTCAGCTTACCTCCGAACAATGAAAAAAACAAATGCGTTTGCGAAGTACAATAAATGGGTCTCTACCCTGCTTTTTCACAGAATCGTAAAATTTCCCTGGAATTAAACCACTCTGCAGCATTTCTTGTTCGAAGTTTAACCAGAGCAGATATTCCCCTTTAGCCCTTTTGTTAAAGGTTTAACGCTGTGAGGGGATTGTGTACTGTCACTCACTGGAACATACAAGTGACAGACATTTTGGCATCAGCCACTTCCATGGCATAGCTTCTGAGGCCAATCGTCAATTTGAGCCTTCACATCTTTTCTGGCTTGGGGGGTGTCTGTGTTACGTGACAGTGCTATGCAGAAGCCTCCTAGTTACCTGTAAGTCAACTATCCTTTGAAGCAGAAGGTAACCACTGTATTGTCTGGGGGGGTCTACACCCAAACTATAGTTTGCTTGGATGCAACATTATTCTGCTATGAAGCTACATTAACACATACAGTAGTATCACCTCAGGTCACTGCAGTCTCCCATGCAGATATATGAGCCTGCTTTTGTGGCTTAAGAGGTCTGCCTAGGGCTCCACTGCATGGAGCAGGCCTGCTCCAAGAGACCTCTTGTGCTTCAGATAAACTATTTTTCTTTTCCAGGGTTTCCAGTGTTCTCAGAATAAATAGGTGAAACCTGTGGTAGCTTAGAATGTTTGAAAATTGTATCTGAAGTCTTTCTGAATACACATGGCTTTACAAAGTAATATTTCTTGCTCAGGATATTGCTTTTTCAGCAGTCCTTCAAACATGTATTTTTCAAATGGGTGATTCTAATACCTTGTTCCTTATTCATTTAAGCTGCTTGCATGCCTGTGGGATTGAGACATAGTATTTGTCTCTCCCTTTGTTTTGAGATCGACTATATTATAATGCTGTGTCTAGCATAGCTTAGTATATTGATGTAGGATTTTCTCTTCTCTGTGTGTGGAATAAACATATGAAAGGTTAGCTTTACAGAAATGCAAAGCCAGAAGTATTTTAGAAACGTAGTTTGTTTTCTAATATTCAGCTTCTATTAATAATGGCATGACACATAATTATATTTTTATTAATAAAAATGTATTTTTTGCTGCTTGTTTAAACTATGATTTTATTTCTTCTTCTGTGTATTTCTTCACAGAAGATCTAAGTGATCTTCAAAAACCAGGTAAGTGATAAGTTTTGAAAAACTTTAATTTCGCATCTTCATTTTACATTACAAATCACTGAAGCCTAGCTGGGTTACAATATATAGTTTACATTATTTGGATGTGTTTATAACTGGGGATTTAATAGGGGCATATATCGTGTTAAGAGCAGCACAGCTTTCTGTTTCCAATAAATTAACTTGAAGAATATAATGCATCATAGGGTTGTTATTATCTTTGTAAAATCACACAAAGCTGGTCTTTTATACTGCATGTATACTTATACAAATACAGAAGGAATTATCTTTTGCTTTCTTGTTTGTGGCTTCTTTGGATTCTAAGTTTTAGTATGTTGATGCTTTTCCAGATGATTAAGGTGAAAAAGATGTAAGGTGCCTGGCTGTCACCAATGATGTGGTGAAATGGTATATTTCTTACATTCATGTTCAAGTGAGCTAATGTGATTTGAAGCCAGTTTGATGTTTATTATAGAAATGTAGATCTGGAGTAGTGCTCCATAAGGGATTATCCCTGATACAGTGTTCCCAAAATCTCAAATCACAAAGGATATATAACTTCCTGGGTTAGACATCAAAGATACGTTTACTTTTGCCAACACTTAGTTTTAGTCACTGAAGTGGTACTGTTGTGATATGTAACATGTTATTCGAAGTGTACCACTTTGGCCTATCACTTACCTGTTCCTCTTGGCACAGCATTGGCTCTACCATCCCTCTGTGAATTACAAAATAAAAGAATTTTCACGTACAGATGGTCATCCCTGCTAAGCATCCCCTATCTTTCATATCTGCATTTCATTTGGAGAGGATAAACTGTTGTTACTGAAAATGCTGATGTGCAGTTTGTAAGATTCAAAATTATACTGTAAGTATCTATTATTTCTTAATTTATAGAACTAGCTATTCATATCCTATTAGGCTATGTTTGCTGGAAGAGGGTGAAGGAAATCAGGTAAACAACAACAGCAAAACAACACCCCAAAACCCCATCAAAACAACAAAAAAAAGAGCACTTTTTTGTCTTAAACTAGTAATGTATTAGGCAAAGTAGTACCAATAGCCTATGGCTGTATGGAACATGCAGTTCATTTTCTGACATGGCCGGCTATGACTGTAATTACTGATGATCTGCTCTTTTAATCTATTTCAAGCAGACCTACAGGAACAATCAAATGACAGACCTGTTGGTAAGTAGGTTTGTAGCTATAATGAACATAGATATTTCCTATCTAGGGGATAGATTTTGCTGCTTCTGAATATTGCTGCTTCTGCCACTGCTAGTGAAATAACTGTAGTGCATATAAATAGGGGCAGGGAGGGAGACTTCTGTGTATTTTTATAGTCCTTTATAATGCTTGCATGCCCTTTCAGTAGTAAACTGTGGTGAGGGCACCAGTATTTTTAGTGACCCGGTGGAGCGTCTACAACTTCTCATCTGTTTCAGTTTACTGTTTCAAATTTCTCTGGCCATGACTTTAGCCAGTGTGTTACTCCATTACTTTGAATACTTTGACAGTTGGAGATAGTGCTATTAGGATGGTGTGATAAAAAGGAATGGTAGTCTGTCTGCTAAGGGTATGCTGTCCCTGCAAGCTCAGCTCTTCCTATGCACAGTGGGTGGATGCTTTGATCCTGAGCTGAAGCTTATAAAGATAGATGGATAGCATATGTGTGTTATGAAGAACAGTTGCTGGGGTTTTTTAATCACATTCTTAAATTTGCATGGTAGACTTGACTGTGGTCATGCATGTTGTCTTGTTGATGCTAAACCAGGTGGAAAGCCTGCTGGCCTCTGTCAAAATTTCACCACTCTTTCAGGTTCATCAGTGTGAGAGGGAGTGTATCTGCTCCCCAGTCTTGATTCATATTTTCTAAATTAATTACAAAGCTTGTACTTTTAAAAGTGTTTTTCAATGACAGTATGCCACTGTCACTCAGTTGGTGCTGTTTAAAATAGTTCACACTGTTCAAGAGCCTGGAGGTTTTCCAGCTGCAAAAATGTTGAAAACATCTTGTTTGAAGAAGGCTGGAATGTAAGACATTGAGGCTACAGACAGAGATTCTCTTCTGGATCTAGCTGTGTGGGGTTACTGACTCTGAAGCAGGTTTGGGGCATTCATGTGATCTCATTTGCCACCAGAGCTGTGGGACAATAGTTCCTGTTGGAGAGGAGAAGTAACAAACCAGGGAGGAAATGCCTTGATTTGAATAAGTGCCTTTCTGTAACTTAACTGTGCAAATTTTTGATAAAAATTAGGCTAGTGGTCTCTAAAGCATTTCTGTTAATGTGACTTTTTTTTACCCTTTCATTGCTGCTTTGTTTACTTATGACAGAATTACTTCAGACTTTGTTAAAATCAAAACAAACATATCTCAAACTATGAGAATATCAGTAGACTTCCCTCCGCATTTTGTAAATTTATCATATTGCTGTATAATTGTTTTTAACCAGAGCAACAGTAAAAAGAAACCTTAACAAACAGAAAAAAAGACTTTTACTGCTGACCTGTCAAAGTTTCCACCTAAATGTACCGTGTTTTAGAGAGATGGGACATGCGAGATGGAGATTTGAAAGTGGTCTTTTGTGTGTGGTGGTTTTTCATTTGCTTTTTGATAAGCATAAAAAATTTTGATGTTTCGGGGAAAGTATACTGCCTGTAGCTTTGGCAACCTGCCGTAAGACTTTCATGTTTATTAAATTTCTTCTTGCATGGGGGAATTCAGTAATTGTCTATGCTTTCAGAGAAATGAAAGAAATGGGAGATAGCCTGAGTGACTCATTTCTTGACAGATTATCCAGTCTGAGATGCATCACAGTTCAGATATGTTGACTGTCAAACCATGCTGAAATGTTTTTTTTGGATGAGAAGAGGGTTGAGCTGTATTATTGATGTAGGATGACTTTTAAAATCACATAAAATATTATGCCTGAAGTGAGATTGTATACTGTTTTCACTTTGGAAGAAATTAAAGGTATTGAACCCATGGAATATATAAATGTGATGATGGGTTTTTTTTCCTTTTTCTTTGCAGCAACAGACAAGGTAGCTCTGTTAATAGGAAATATGAGCTACTGGAATCACCCCCAGCTCAAGGCTCCGATGGTCGATGTCTATGAATTGACCAATTTGCTAAGACAGCTGGATTTCAAAGTTGTTTCTTTGCTGGATCTTACTGAATCCGAGATGCGAAATGCAGTGGATGAATTTTTACTTCTCCTGGACAAAGGAGTATATGGTAAGAATGTGTGATATCCCCCTCTGAAGTAGGTCAATTTTGTGATGTATCAAGTACACAAACATCTGGTATTTACCTCTGCCAGCTCACTACATGCGATAGCAAAACAAACTTCATGGTAAATAGCATGTATGCAGAATGGGAAAAGTAAGTTAAGAACACCCACCAGCATATCCTTTGACTTTGGTTAAAATGTTACTGTTTGTTTATTTTTAGAACAGATAAAATATTTGAACTTTTTTCTTTTACCACACCTAAAACTGCAGTGCACTTTTTTGTTTGATAGTACTCATGTGTTTGCTAAAAGCTGCTGGATCTGTGTAGCATATTTGACAACATGCTGTGCAGAAGATGCACATTTGTACTAAGTCATTAGTACTAGTTTGTAGTAGTCTTTTAAGGAAGAGCAAGAATAGCCTGTTGTGTCACCTGTATTAGTGTATTACGGAAACAAGCTAGTAGCAGTGTAGTTGAAAACTGTGTATACAAGACTACGTGTAGTCTTGGACAGCAGTCCTTGCTGCCTTTAGGAGACCTCTTGCATACCCTCTTCATAAACTTCTGTTCTGTTGTCCTCCTCCCTTCCCCATGCCTGCAATTTAATGATTTGTTTAGGGCTGGCCAATCCCTTGGCATGCTTAGACTGCTAGGTTGCATTTCTGTTGGGGAGGTGGGGAACAGCCCTAAGTACAGCATGGAATATGTTCTCAGCTTGCTGGTGGGACCCTTCTGTTCATTGTGTCTTTTCTACTGGATGTCTGCAGAATGCTCTTTCCATCTGGATTTCCGTCCTTCTGGTGCTCTTTGGGAGGGGCTGCTCTGCTCTCTTAGTCCTCGCTTGCCAGCTCTGTAAAGAACAGAGGAAGAAGTGTGCTTTTCTTTGCCTTGACAGTGAGCTGTGCTCTGATACCAGGTGTGTTGGGGTGGAGGCGGGGAGAGTGGGATCTTTTTTACCCTCTTCTTTTTTGCCAAGTTTTCAGGTTAAGTAGAAATTCTTATTTTGAATTGCTGGTTCCTTTCAGTTATTGTGATACTGATCTGGCAAGCACAGATTTTTTCATAATGTCCTTGACAGGGAGTGAGAGTTGTGCAAACCTACATTTCCACTTCAAAAAGCGAATCGGAAGGAAGTTTGTTTATGTAAAATGAAAATGTAGTTCTCTTAAGTGTATGCACTTTAAGGAAGTAAAATAAAATGGAGAAGAATTCACATTATCCTTTGCAGAATATACCTTGCATAAGGAAAGGCATTAACTGAGAAATTGGTGAGCTATGAACTTCAGGTTCTGACTTGCTGCAGGTGTCAGTGATAAAGGATTTTTCACTGAATTGAATACTAAGATTCCTGTTTGGGCAGAACTTAGGTACGACTATTGTTTCACAGCTCTGTGGAAGGTCTGAATATAGAGCATAAAATTTATTCTTTCTGTGTGTATTTGCACATTAGATGGAAGGCTTAATAGTGGTTATGCTGCTTAAGCAGGCAGCAGCCCTTTTTTTTTTTTTCTTAAACTCTTCAGACTTAAAAATAACATCCCACAAAAATGGAAGGCTCTCACCTCTAAATTGTAGCATTGCTCTAATGATTGTACTGCAGTATCTCATCAGTATTGGTTTAAGATATAGAAGGACAAATTAAGCCAGAGTATGCATACCAAAAGATGTGTGTTTAACACATTTCTCTTTTTTTTTTCCTCTGTTTTTGTTATTTGAGTCACACATCTATTTATAAGATACCTGTAATAGAATATTAGTAATAATTTTAAGCTCTCCTCCATATACTGCACAGGAGGTGCCTTCTGCTGGGATAATGACTAACCAGTCAGGTCTGGTATGCATTGCCACTACTGATATGCATTGATTCTTAGATAATGACTCGTATGTTGGGATTCCTTGTCTTGCATAAACTTGATTTTGAGGGAATAAACACAAGATAGAACTGGTGGCTGTGCTAGCTGGGGGAGGGCATGGTGGAATTGATGCACAGAGCAAAGACCTTCATGTTCTGTGTAGAAAAGGCCTAGACTGACCTGGCTTGGAGCGTAAGAAAAGTTCTGTGGGCTTTGAGGAGTTTGCTGCTGACTGCCACTATTTTTGTCATTTTTCTAAAAGCTAAGGTTGGATAAACAATTCCAGAAATTATTTAGAACGGAGAGCAAAAAGTTCTGCCAGTTGTCCTATTTAAATTGCAGAATTCCTATAGTAATACCCACCTGAGAAAACATTATTTGATTCTTTTTTGGAACACAAGGTCAGATTATTTCTTAGTATGGCTTTTTTTAATGGTGTGTTACCTGATGCTCTGTCTGGGCAGAACTGGCTGATCTGACATTTGGGCATTTATGTCAGAGCCAAAACTTGCATGACATGAAGACTAATTATGGCAGTAAAGTTTAGTACTCTTTCTGATAGCAGTTTTCTTTTTTTGTTCCCTGGGAAATAGATGTGCTTATACATTTGAGTGAGCTTTTAGATTCTTGCACCTTCTCAATTTTTTCCTATAATTGTTGGCATGAATTTAGAACATAAAGTACTAAAATGGTTTAATGAGTTTCTCACCAGCACTGTATGAAAGCTCTTATAAGGCATGTTTTTGCAGTTGCATTTTCCCAGCAAGTTGATATTTCTGAAAGGTAAGTAGAGCATTCTTTCAGTAGTGTTTGGCAATAACTACTTCAGTTTGAAAGGTCACTTTGTTCTTTCTGGATAGTCACTATTAATGGCTTAAAGCATATAAAAGATGCTGTCAGTGCACAAATAGATAATAATTTATTGCATTTTTAGTGGGCATAGCTCCAAATATAAGAGGCATAGTGGCTACTTCTGTTTAGTCCTTGTTACACATATTCATGATGCCTAATACAACCTTGTGTAATTCTTTTTTACTGCCAGGAAAGTGGCATTTCAGATACTATTCCTTAAGAGCAGGAGTAGTAAACAAAGTGATGATGATTTGTCTTCTCTGTCTTATTTTATATTGTTCTAAATGTAGGGTGCAATTAATATTGTATTCCACAAAGGGTAAAAGCATAAACACATATGTTTTAAGGCTAAATATAGTTAGGCTGCTTTCTTTTTTAAAAAGAAGAGAGAGAGAAGGCAAGAGAGAGGCAGATATCACTTCAATGCTGACGTCTATGAGGAACTTGAGCCTACTTAAAATTGTGTCAAAGTGTCTAATGAGGCCCTCCAAATAATATTTACTCTGCTTACTCTGGGTATGCAGATTTATTTCTGATCTTGAGCTCAACATATTAACTGTTGCAGGTACTCATCAAATAAGCATAGCACAGTCATCTGCCAAGGATAAAAGAAATGTAGTTGTTATTTCTGATATATTTCTATTCATTGAGGAAATACTCTGGTAAATCACGCTTTACATTAGAGACTTGTTTCCTTCAGTCAGTCCAATTACTTATCTAACATACACTTGGATATATATAGTCTCAAATATAACATTGATTTAGGTCCAGATCCAAACTCTGTGGAAATCACATTTAAGAGTTTCCTTTTAACTTAGGATCTGACATGGAGTCATGCACATGGTGCTTAACTTCATTTTTAGCTCTCTTTACACTGCCCTGTCTCAGGTAACCATTGGACTCTTATAAATAGCCCAATAGTACCCTTATTTTTTTAGGTTTTTAATCATATACTTTAAATTCTGTGCCCTTTAGAAATCTAACTTTTAATTAAATAAAGCTGTTGCCATTTTCCAAGATTCTGGCAGATGAATAACCATTAGGCTCTTTGTTTAAGTGAAACATTGCATCCTGGAGTTTACCTTGTATGCACTTGCTGGCTGCTTATCTTGTCTATGCATGTTTCCCATAAAAAGAAATAGAGCACTGTTGATTGAATGGCGCAGTTTGCAAGGTCTTGGCATAGTTGTTAATGACTTGAAAGCTTACAAGTAAAAGAGAACTGAAGGCTTAATTTGAAGGGCTATAGTTATATCTTGGTATTCCTTTACAAAAAGTGCAGGGCTGTGTAAGAGAAATATTTTCATTTGTTGTAGCTATCTATAATGAAAAGGTAAAAACATCTAGCATACCTGCCTACACAAGCTGATTTAAATGTAGATCATTTTAGTATGTCAGGGTAAAGCTTATTTTGTTTTTTCTGAATATTCAAGTTTTGTGACATAAATTTCACAGCTATTTTTAGTAAGAATAATGATGTAAGAAGACCGTATCTCCAGTTAGCATAAATTTTCCTGTCTCTGTTGACTTTTATTTGGTTGCAGCACTATATACTAATTGAAGATCTGACCCTTAGACTGCTTTGTATAGATAAATAAAAGTTCTGTTTAGAAGATGGAACTTGCCATAGATAATCAAAACCAGCACTGGGAACAGACAATAGGAAAATTCCATTTAATCATACAAGTTTCTGGTAACTTCATTGTAAGGCAGTAGAGGTTATTAATGCTAAGATCATTAAATCTTACTGCAAATTGATATGATGTTTTTATTCGTATAAGTAAAGTCTAAGCCCTCTGTTGCAGTTCCCTTTTTCAGGGTTAAGAAGAGCTTTTTTTAATTGTATGATACGTTGTCGCAGTAGAGACGGACACGACAAGTAATAGATCATGCAAAATGGCTACTTTATTGTTCTAACACAGCTTTTTATACCCTTCTTTAGAGTATGTGTTAGTATATGATTGGTTTGGTTAGTAACTAACAATTCATGATTGGTGAGTTCGTTAGGGTGGTTCTTCTTATCACTATCTTGTTTTTGTACCGGTCTTCTTGGATCTTTCCAGACTCTTCAAGGATATACTACAAGCTGCTCAAGGTCGTGCTGTTCTCGAACTGTCAGGAATTCTGTAGACTCGTTGCATCCCCCGACAATACGTTTTCTTTATACAAAACTATTGCATGTTTTATTGAAGATTTTAAATCTTAAAATATTGTAGACTGTTGTGTATTGACACATGAGGGAGGTGAATGTAGGATAATCTTTTGTGTCTAGGTAAGCAGGCAAAGAATTTGTTTGTTTAGTAGACTCACAAGAGTCATGAGTCTGTACCTGTAAAGAGATGTAGATGCAATCAGCTAAAAATGAGTTGTTGGTAGTCTGGTAATGGGAATGTGCTTTGGAGTCCTACCAAACATGATCATGGAATAATTTCTTTTTTTTTCCTAGATGTAAAAATATTTCTTATCCCTCCCTATAAAAAAGACAAAAACAAAGGCAGAAACTGACTCTATGGAGAAAACAGCAAAATTAAAAACTTGCAAAATGCTGTCATAGTGCAAGCAAGGTTTTTCTCTGTTTTTTTTTCTAGTTGAAGTACTTTTAAGAATTACTAATGATTAATGGTAAGTAAAAAAAAAATTAAAGAATAATTTTAAAGATGACAGCATCTCTCATTTAAAAAAAAAATCCATCCAAACCATTCAGCATTATTTTTTTCTATCTATAAAATCTGCACTGATTCGCTGCAACTCAAAGCTTTTGCTTTGCCTAATTGCAGAGGTGAAGATGATGTTTTACAGTTGGCACATTTCCTTGTTCATATCTGTGACTTATATATCATATATAACTGATTATTTCTGTTAGAGGTCATACCTCTACTTAAAGCATTTTAAAGAGTATTTAGCTTTGTGTGTTTGATGCAATTATCTAATTGATTCTATTGCATGAGTGAATTATTTTTTTTAAATTTGTTGTGTCTGTGTATTGTGAAGTCGATGTTAATGTGGTTCCCCCCCCCGCCTCCCCTTCCTTCCTGTATTAACAAAGGCATATTGATATTAAAAAAACCTGCTTGGAGTAGCTTGAATGATCTTAATCTCTCACAGACATATAGTGTGGACATAGTGCATGAAGTTTTTGATTATGCTAAAATTTATAGAAATGTTCCAATGTACTCTTGAACTGTGTTTTCAGTCACACATATTTTGAACTCTCAGGTTTGTTATACTATGCTGGCCACGGCTACGAGAACTACGGAAACAGTTTCATGGTTCCTGTTGATGCTCCAAATCCCTACCGATCTGCAAACTGTCTGTGTGTGCAGAACATCCTCAAACTAATGCAGGAAAAAGAGACAGGACTTAATGTATTCCTACTGGATATGTGTCGGAAAAGGTATAATTTCATAATTCATGAATAGTGAGAACCGACATTAGATGTTTGAGGGACGTTTTTGCTTCACGATAAGAGGGACAGTGTATAATGACTGTAGTTTTGGGAGCCAACTGTGAAGTTCAGTTTATTCACTGCAGCAACAGATTAAAACTGAGCCTATTCTCAAAATGAACAAATAAAACTGAACAGCCATTTTGAGAGAATAGCAAGGGATCTTGAGAGAAGGCTGGACTTCACACTGAGGAGAAATCTTTAGTCTAGGCTGAGAATTCACTGTACTTGAAAGTTCATGGTTCTGAGAATTGACAGCCTGCACCTGAATGCTTTTAAAGTCAATAGGATTCATTCATAGAATTAATTTGCCTTTGGCCTTGGATGGAAATGTGAAGCTGGTGATTAGACTTTCTGTTTCCATGGGTAGATGCTTGCTTCTTGATTTGAATGACATTTATTTCTTCTTTTTTGTTGTTGTTTAAAAGTTATAAAGCATCACTCTTACTAGGTAAAAGTGAAATTAAGCATCTTAAAGAAGAAAAATGACCCTTTCCCCTTGCATCATTAACCATCTGCATCATTACAGGGGGAAGGAGAATCCATATGATCAAAGGCATATTAATTTGACAGAAGGGCTCAAGTGAAGTGCTTATTTTAGAACTCTTCAGAGGCCTGGATTTCGTGGACTGCTTTTATGCTGGGGATGTTGTATCTTTATTTAGAGCTTAAAAATCAACTGGTTTATCAGATTTTTCTAAACAAAGTACTATTTTCATTCCGTGTTAAGAGACTACTATGCTTGATGAAACTTGCACTTGAAATCAGCTCTTGAGTCAGCACTTCTGAAAACTGGTCTCTAAGGAATGTTTTGTAATAGAAAATTGCTAGTGCTTTAGTGTTTGTAGAGCCTCTAAACATCACTGCTAATGAAATGCCAATGATCCAATTCAGCTTCACAATCTGCTGTCCAAACAGAAAATACAGCTACATAAGCCTCATGTTAACTATGCAGACACTGTGTTTTGAAAATAAATAAATAAAATAAATTAATATAGTTTTTGTTATAACCTAAAATGGCTATTTATCAGAAATCATTTTTTAAGAGATTGTAGCCAGACCTTATATTGGTTAATATAGTATGCCCTCATCTGGGTAATGCATGATGTCTGACTGTGTCTTTAGATTGTCTTCATGAAGAGTGTTGATGATGCTGATTTTTATCTTTTAGCAGTCAGGATTCATTACAGAATTGTAGGAGAGAAAAAAATTACCCTTTCTAAACTATGCTGTTTCGGTATGTTGAACAACTGTAGAGTTTGTTACTATTATTAGTTCTCAAATTATTATTTTACTTTTTTGTGTTTCCATTTATTGCAGAAATGAATATGATGACACAATTCTTATCTTAGATGCTCTGAAGGTTACAGCCAACATTGTTTTTGGATATGCAACGTAAGGAAGTTTTTCTCCTGCTATGCCACAGAGGTTTTGAAGCCATAAATGACCACTGAGATTGTATAGCTAATCTTTTACAGAAAAATACTAACTGTGATGTTAAAGGACCAGTAACTTATATCCATATCTGTGTCCTCATCCTGTCTTTTTTTACTTTGTTCTTTGAATCATTCCACAGTCTAACTGGCTGTGGAAATGCATACATAATGATTCCCAGTATTTAACTTTCCCATTCAGATATAGGGTAACACCAGTGAGAGAACTGCATTCAGCAAACTAGAAACTACTGGACAGTGTTCATGATCTTTATCACATGGTTACTTGTAGGAGTGCTCTACTCATCTAAGTATTATTTATTAGAGATGAAAAAAATGCAGAGAAGAAAAAAGCAAATTTTACCCTCAGACCCATAATGTTCTGTTTCTTTGTGCTGCTGGGGAAAGAGGAGTTATGTTCTGTGTACTTAGTAATAGTACTTACTGCAGTGGGAGCTTGTACAGAAGGTCAAGTACTGTGGAGCAGTTGATGAACTATAACATACGTGCTGTACCCTCTTTGGTCACATGTCTCCTCTGTTAATGCAAGTTAAATTTCTAGAAAAAAAAAGTGTTAAAAATATAAATCAATAAATTATTGAAGGAGTAGCATATAGACTGGCCCCTGTGTTTCCTGTTCTAGGTGTAAAGAATAAAGTTACAACTGCAGTTGAAACTATTTGAAGAGGTTGCTTAAGCAGAAAGCTAAATAACACCTCTCTTGTCAGTTTTCAAGTCAAGTGCAAAAGCTGTTGAATAGAAGTAGTCAAGAGCTTTAATGAAGTCTTCTATGAGAAATTTAAGCTCCTCATATAAACAGTTTGACATCAGCTCTGGTCTGTGGCCTCATTGAAAGTGAAATCTTCCCAGGATGAGTTGCTTGCAAATGAACATGAAGAGCAGGTTGGCCATAGACACAACCTGGTTTTCAAATTGTAGGGTTTCTTTCCCCCATTCCCAACATAACTTTACTCCTTTTGTCTTCATGTTGACCTTAATCATACAGATGTTTTAGTGTTCTTTCCTTTTCTGATATTGGTGATCTCGTAGGTGCCAAGGAGCAGAAGCTTTTGAAATTCAGCAGTCAGGGTTGGCCAATGGAATCTTCATGAAGTTCTTGAAGGACCGTTTGTTGGAAGACAAGAAGATTACTGTACTGCTTGATGAGGTTGCAGAAGGTGAACTCTAGCTTGCTGCACTAACAGTCTTCTCAACCTGCATTACTAAAAACTTCTTTGCTTAAATGTCATTCTTTTCATGGTGAATGTGTTACACTACTTTAAGCTCTTTCTTGCTGCGTTTTGTTAAAATAGCAACTTTTATCAAGAAGCAGGTGCTACTGGGCAGCACATTAACAAGGATCATGATATTATAAAGGGATGTGAGCTTCTTTAATAGCGATCCTTACTTGTTCTGAGTGTCTTTCTGCATGGAGCTTTGAATTGTCCATCCACAAAAATTACTCTTCTATCTTGTGGTGTCAGCTGCTAGTGGTAGTCCAGTCATTTCCATGTTCATTTAAACAATTAACTGAGTCGATATATCTACCTCAAAGAGTCCTATAGTGATGATAATTGATTTGCTCTCTATCAGAGGGTGTAAGTGCACTATAAAGGGCAATCCACTGTTCTAATATGCCTGGTTCAGTAATTATCTTTTATAATCGATGGGAGAAGTGCTAAAGTGAAAACTGTTGAGGGAAAATGTGTTGTTTCTGTGCAAACATTTACTCAAAACATAGAAGAATAGATACAGCCATTAGCTGTCGGTATAAGATTCTGTTATTTGTAGGTAATGTATGTAATCAGCCAAGTTCTGCTGTGGTTTCCAGTGTTCTTGGTGCAACTGCAGGTCTCAGAATTTTGGCCAGTCTGTCTTTTGACAGGGATCCAAAAAGCAGAAAAAAATCCAAGAGAATCCTAAATGCACAGTAAAGTTCTGCTGTCAAACCGACAGAGCTTCTGTCAGTGCACTACTGAGGAAAGGGAAGAGATCATTGGTTGACTAGCTGAAATATAAGCATGGAATTTATGTCAAACTGATGGTACTGGGAATCCAGCATAGCCCCAGGGTGTAAATTGAAATGTGATGGTTCTTGGTTACCACTTGTTTGCTTGGTATATATTCTCATATATATTCTCTGTCTTTTTGCTTATAGTTGGTGTGCTGCTTGACTAGATCCCATAAAACAAGCTTACCATTCTGTATTTTCAGTCTTATCTGTTAAACTTTCCACGAAGTTTCTGTGAAAAGTTAAATAAAATTTCAGAAGATCTCAGAAGACAGATCCTGAAGAAATAGGATCTGCAGATGGTAAAACTAAAATGATTATTCTAAAACCTAGGGCAGAAGTAGATTCGCCCCTGCCCCGCACAGGGCGATGTTGTTCTTTTGCCGGGGCAGTCAGACAAGAGTGCTCTTTGCATTAAGATTTGTACTTCTTATTTGCTTACAGTACTACTCAATTTTGCCATTACCTAAATACAAAGGAAGAATTTGATAACTTGCTGTCCTCTCATTTGCAGTGGTAGAAACCAGAGCTAGCTATAGCTGTGTTTAGGCCCAAATTCCTGAAACTCTTTGTTTTGAAGCAGGCCCCAATATCTTCCCTTTCTGTCATCTTTCTTGCCTTCTGGGACATTCTGACTGTTACTGTTTTATGAAAAGACAGCCCTGCAATTCACTCATCCTAGCATCAATACTATGTCTGTAGTATACATATATACTACGTCTTTAGTTTTTATCCCTCATTTTCCCATTGTCAGCCTGTTTAAAGCAGGAGTAGTAGTAGAACAGACACCCACTTGCGTTCTGCAATGGTCATAGACCAATCAGTCTTTCAACTTGCGTAAGAAGTTTACAAATTTTATAATGAACAAATATCCAAAAATATTCTCACCCTCTCCCTCCCCTCATCCTTTTTGTCATTGCTTTTGGGTGTTCTTAAGTGGGTTAATATTCTCTAAGATTTCTCTCTCCTATTCCCCCCATCTTCATGGCTTCCCCATAAGAACATGTCACAATTCCGCCGGCACGCATTTTCCTTGCGCTTCCCCAAATGTCCGGTGAAATACGACTGACTCTTACTGCTTCGTCTGTACTGCCAGGTAATGTCACATGCTGTAGATGTTCTGACATGTGACCTATTACTTATCTCATTCTTGAACTTAGAGTGGAGAGAAAGATTGATTTGTCAGGTAACGTGACAACCATTGTTGTCAGTAGTACCAGACATTGGGTGCTAATGAGTACATTGGTACACTGATGACACTGGAAAATGTTCCAAAGGAGTGTTCATGTTAAAAGTATTCCATGTAAATAGCCTTCATTGTTTCTTTTTTTTTTTTTTAATGAACTCATAAATGGAAATTTTCTAGGATTTTTTTGACCTTCTACATGCAGCAAAACTATCTGAAAATGTCACTTTTAAATGTAATTGAACAAATATAGGGAGACCCTAATAAATTGGAGTAAGTTTGAATCACAAACTGGTTAAAGTTGGAAAGGACCTGTGGAGATTGTCAAGTCCAACGCTGCTGCTTAAAGCAGAGTAAACTAGAGCCGGTTGCTCAGGACCTTGTCCATGTGGGTTTTGAATGTCTTGAAGGATGGAGACTCCACAATCTCCCTGCACAGCCTGTCCCAGTGTTTGATCACCCTTAGAGTAAGAAGTTGTTTCTTATGGTTAAGTGGAATTTTCTCTATGTCAGTTTGCATCTCCTTCCACTTGTACTGTCACTGGTCTTGACTGAGAAGAGTCTGGCACTATTTTACTTTCCCTCATCAAGTATTTATACATAGTGATAAGAAGTCCCCTGAGCCATGTTCTCTCCAGTCTAAACAGTCTCACCTCTCTCAGCACCTCATTATAAGAAAGATGTTCCAGGCCCCTCATCTCTGTGACTCTTCATTGCATTCTCTCTAGTATGTACATGTCATTTTTGTACTGGTGAGCCCAGCAGTGGACACAGACTCCAGATGTGGCCTCACCAGTGCTGACAAGAGAGGAAGGATCACCTCCCTTGTCCTGCTGGCAACACTATTCCTGTTGGATGCCTTTACTAGAAGAATGCATAGCTGGCTCATGGTCAGCTGGGTGTCCACCAGGTCCCAAGGTCCTTCTCTGCAGAGCTGCTTTCCAGTGAGTCGGTCCCCTTTCTGTACTGCTGCATGGGGTTATTCCTGCCCAGCTGCAGGACTCAGTATTTCCCATTGTTGAACTTCATGAGATTCTTCTCTGCCCAGCCTGTCCAGGTCCCTCTGAATGGCAGCACAATCGTCTGGTGTATCAGCTGCTCCTCTCAGTTTTTAATCATCTGCAGACTTGCTGAGGTTGCACTCTGTCCTGTCATCCAGGTCATTAGTGATGATGTTAAACAGTATTGGCCCCTTTATCGACTCCTAAAATATTCCACTTACCTCCAATTCTTTAGAAATCCCCTCCAATGGTATTATTCACATTCTTGAAATTAGTCACTTTAATTAGGGCCTTACTGAATCAGAGCTGTGATATTGCTTGAACTGGTCTTGAGAAGAAATGTGAGAGCATGTTGACTAGGAGACATGCAAAACCCTCAGGATTCTCTGCAGGCATCTGGCATGCTGTTTTAGCCTTAAGTGAATGAATAGCTGAGCAATGTATACTTCTAAAACTGCAAGTTTTTATGGATGTGCTGACACTGGCATAACCATAGCAACCACACAACATTACAGTGATGTACTTAATTTAGTTAGAATTTCAGCAGTATTGATTTTGAAGGAAAACTATGTGCATCTTATTTTTTAGATATGGGCAAGTGTCACCTTACCAAAGGCAAGCAAGCTTTGGAAATCCGCAGCAGTTTGTCTGAGAAAAGGGCATTAACTGATCCCATTCAACAAACCGTATCTTCTGCAGAGTCTCTGGCACGGAACCTGCAGTGGGCCAAAGCTCATGGTATAGTACAATCTACTTTTAGATGATCCTACTGGCATGATGGGAAAAATAAGAAGATGTACTTCCTTAATAATCTCTAGTCTGTGGGTTGTGATATTGAATGGAAATGGAAGAAATTCAAGTTCGTATCTGAATTTTCATTAGTATGTTCAGATCTTGGAAATTTTTGTGTTGGGGTTTACCTCTACATGAGATTGTAATGAACAGGTGGAATTCATCCTGAGTAAGTAAGTATATTTAAGACCACTCAAACACTGTAGAGGGGACTTACATGATGTCTACCTTCTGAGATAATCTCCCAATAGTCTGTTTGTGTCTAACAATGACACTTTTAAGATGTCGTTAATCTCATGCTAAAGTCATCACCTAAAATAGCCAGGTGAACTGTATGGTAAAAGTGCATGATGAAAAGGAGTTTTCAATGTATACAACTAAGAAAACTAGAATAAGGGTGAGATCAGTTCAGGCTTTCTAGACTTCTTTTAAGAAGGGCAGTGGGGTTTAAGACCTTTTTACCTTTTCACCTAAATGTGTTGGAGTACATTTTAAAATTTTGATAGATTGGGCAGTAGGTCAAGGGTGGCATTTTTAAGACAACTAGTCATGTAGGCAGACTCTTTCACAGATGTAGATTTTTATTTGTGGAATCAAGCCCTTAATTCTTGTTTGTTAAATGATTGAAATGCAAAACAAAAACTATAAAGCCATAACTTAGTTTATTTGTTTTAAGCTATGCATTGAAGAGAATGTGTTTGGAATTTGGGAAGAGAATAACCTTTATATTTATATAAAGGTATGTCTATGATAATGTTAAATAATCCACTTTCAGTGGGAGTAGAAAAATCAATACAAAGCATACAGACACAGAATGATGTTATTGACCCTTGAGCACTTTCAGATACATTCCTATGGATTGAGAAAGAACCACAATATAAAGAAGAAAAACGCTGTGGGCTAGGCTTTGTGAATGTGTGCATAGGCTGCGAAAGGAAAAAAAATGTACCTGAAACCTGTTTTCTATGAAATTCAAAGGTTCTGATAATGCTACAGCTGTGTCACATATATTGGATATAGACCATGTTAACCTTACCGGTTTGATTATAGATATGTAAACAATTTGTTGGGTCAGCAAGCTATATCCTATTTACAGTAAATGTTGCCTTGCTAGTTGCACAGAGATTGGAAAGAAACCTGCGAAGCAGAAGTGGAGTCAGCTCTCTCTGGCAGTGTCTGCCAGTTTGCTAGTGATACTAGCAAATAATGTTGCTGCCTGGTTAGCTTCTAACCTGGTTTGCTTCAGTCTAAATATGTGATAGGTAGAGGGAGGGCAGAAGAAGAGGTCTATACCTTTTAAAACTTCTGAATTTAAAACAAAATTTAAAAAAGAAAATACATATGCTAAGTTTTATTTAGAATGTAATGATGTGTTATTTATTTGCAGAGCTTCCAGAAAGTAGGTATCTTGAATTCAAATGTGGTGTTCAGATTCAGTTGGGGTTCGCAGCCGAGTTTTCCAATGTCATGATAATCTACACACGAATAGTAAAGAAGCCACCTGAAATAGTAGTTTGCAGAGCCTACGTTACAGACTTCGCACTTGTAAGTGCTTCCTATTGTTGTCTTGGTGATCTCCCTCCACTGAAGCTGAAAATTGTCTGGTCTATCCACATTGAACTGCATCTTTTGTAATAAAAAGGGTCTAAACTGTTGACATGAGGTGCTTACGTGTGTGTCTGTACACACGTTTACTTTTTTTTTTTAAATGCATATTTTTAATATATATAAAAATACATTAAAATTACCCTGGGGTTATCTTTTTTCAAAGTTTCCTTTGTTTTTCATTGTCTAATATCAAGTATTTGTTATATTTAATTAAAGAAGTTAAATGTCAATAGCTCCTATGTGAGCTGAGGACACATCTACCTTGCAGGACAAGGTTGCTTAGGCTTTAGTTTTATGGTTCTTTTACACCTAGGTGATCCTGTCCAGTTCCATTGATGTTACTCAGCTGATCACAGTAAGGTGAAGGATAAGAGTAAAACAGAAAGCTCCTTGGGGCAAAAAGCTGTCTTTTTTGATGTCTATGAAAGAGGACATGGGGCAGAAAACCTTTTTAGATAGAACAAACAGGACATTACTGATGCTTTATGATAAAATATTTCAGTTAATGTGCATAATAAATACATGTATTTTTAGCCCACAGCATTAGTGTTATAGTACTACTGTACTTCATAGTAGAAGTTAGGTTAAAAAAAAAGCAACCCTGAAGCAAGCATAGCAAATTTGACAGGAACCATCAGCAAAAGAGGGTAACCTGCTCAAATGTAACCCCATCTGCCTGTGACTAGCAGTGGTTTCAGCAGCTTTTGCAAGTAATCCAAGATTGGCATTTTCTCTTCTTTTAAGAAGAAGAAAATGCTGACTTTATAAAAAAGAAATACTGCTAACTATTTTATGATCTACGAATTCTGTACCTTCAATTAAGTTCTCATTTCTTTCTTGCAACAGGACCTGGACGTGGATCCTAAAGAGGCCAATAAAGGAACTCCTGAGGAAACTGGAAGCTATTTAGTATCAAAGGACCTTCCCAAACACTGCCTCTACACCAGGCTAAGTTCACTGCAAAAACTAAGGGTTAATATATATTATTCCTCACAAGTTTGTTTAGATAATTTAGATTAATCATGTTGCTTTGCAGTTCTGTTGAGGTAGCTGTGTATTGTCTGCATAATGAGTAACATGTTCTTTGGAGGGAAAAAATGGCTACTAGCACAATTTAGTGACTTCAGTTTCTTAGCTGAAAAATAAAAGCCAAGGAATCAGTGCAAATGCAATCCTGATACCGTAGTGTAAGTCACTTTATTTTCTAGGCCTGTACTGAACTTTGACAAGATGATTATTTTTGTGAGGATCATGTATTGCACACTGTGGGAATGTTCCAGCACCCTGCAGTACAAGAAGAATGTGACCTGAAGCAGACCTGCATCTTACAAAGTCGTTAGTTAGGAGATGAAAATGTTACATATCATCTCCTTCCATTCCAACCTGTACTCTTGGGCATGGTTTTTGTAAACGTTCTCACTTCAACATACTCTGGCACTGTTAAGTTTATCTCTGTATCTTTTGTGTCATGAACATCTGTGCTTGGTATCACGTGGTATCTCTTCTTCAGTGCTTTTGGTAGCTGGTGTAATACAAGTGCTTCCAGAAATAAAGTCTATCAGGTGAGCAAGTATTAACCAAAAGAGGTCCTCAGTAAACAAGTCTTGCCTAATACATGTCTTTAGCTCCTGAAAAGGTTAGCCTCCTCTAGTAGGCTGTGCCTCTGTAAGTGTTTCCTATATTGTTTATTTGAGGAGGAAAGCTAACTTTTTTTTTCTCCCCCCCTCCCTTCCTCTCTTGCAGGAACACTTGATCTTCACTGTTTGCTTGCACTATGAGTATCCAGGAATAGAAGATACAATGGATGAAAGAAAGGAGGTTAATGTTGGGAAGCCCCTTATTGCTAAATTAGGCCTTCATCATGGATTCAAAAATAATAACTGTCTCCAGACCTGTTGCATGGCTAATAATCCTTTTCATAATCAAATAGAATCAAGTCCAGTAGCAACTAAATACTACGTCCCTAGTCATTGCCAACCCAATTCCTGTCCAGGCATTTACCATCCAAACCATATTTGCTCAGACAGCATCAGACAACTAGAGGCATGTTCTTGCAATGGGACTTCAAGGATATTAGCTTCAAGACATGAAGTACAGAATTACTCACCCCCTGTGGAAAAGAGTAATGTACCAGTAGAGACCACTGATGATACTGTTGAACTGGAATTCCTTCTCTCTGACAACCTCAGATTCTCTAAACAGCAGTAGCTGTGATGTGTTCAGAATAGACCAGAGTATCATCCTTGAATAGGGGACCTTCCACACTGCTTATCCATATTCTGGAGTTTGGGGGCTTCAGGGCAAAGGGATTGGAGAGTCTAGAGGTGGTACTGACAATGAGGTTATCGTGGAAGTTTTTCAGATCCAGAGAAAAGACTGGACTGATAGATTTAGGAATGAAAAAGGCTTGATTTTTATTTTTTTCTCCTACCGTTTGATGTTTGATACAGGGAAAAACCTGAACTCCTCAGAGTTTCCTATTCCATTCTCTGGTAGTCAAGCAGCTAACAGAGGCAGTCATGCATTTCTGGGAGGAAGCTGCTTATCTCTGTTAGGGGATGAATGCGTAAAAGCCTGGCTGTGGTGTCAAAGTTTCTCCTGAGTTAGGAAAGCGTTGGATCTTCCCAGCTGCTTCTGCGGTACCTACTGGAGTTATAATATTTACTGTAAATACATTTTTCATAAATTTTCTGTTTTCAGAGAGGAATTGCTCATCCTATACAAAAACAAGGTAAACATGTATAGCTGTCAGAAGAAAAAATGTTGACAGAATTAAGCAGAAAAATGAATTTCCATGTCCTCTGTGTTTTAACATGATTTTTAAAAATCCATTAGCCCCAAAATGATAAATACACCTTTCTCTCCTCCATATTTCAGTTTCAATTGTTCAATATCCAGGGATTTCTTTTTACGTAGTGCATTAAAGTAAGGTTTTCTGTGTTTATATATGTTGTAACAGCCTCCTATTGAGTATACAAGATGACACATAACATAAATGAACTAAGCAAAGAGGGAGCTTTTACAGAAGTGAAGATACTGTGGTTTAATATTCCAGTGTTAAGAATATGTCTCCTTCAAACCTCAGTTTCTTTCCTTATGTATTTATTAGGATCAGTCACTGACATTCCAGTCCCTTGGTTGTAGCTAATAATTGGCTTCGACTGCATTCTCCTCTCTGATGGTCACATGTCCAGTGTCTGGCAGCAACTGACAGATAGATGAAGAGCTGTGCAAGGAAAACAAAACCTAAACTGAGTAAACTAAACATTATCACTTTTTTTTTCTTTTTTTGGGGTTTTTTTTTTTTGAGAGAGAACTACGAATTGTCAGATATTCATACTGTGGTAAATTGTTCTTTTAATGATAATCTTTCTCTTATGTAACACACTTCAGAAATCAGATCAGCAAAATCTTGAAAGGTGGTCTTTGCATATTCTGGAAGAACACTAAATGGAAAGGTGAGGAAAAAGTGCCTGTTCCTAGCAAGCAAAGTATTGTATAATTAGTCACACGTGCTGAAGGCTAAAAATGAACGGGCAAGATGAGTGAAAACTTTGAGGTTCTTCAGGCTGAAGTTACAGGGATTGGTGTTCCTTGACACCAGCTGTTGCTTTTCTGTGGTGATTTTAAAAAACAAACAAAAACCCCCTACTCAGTTGTTTTCCAGGCCAAATGAATTTGTATTCATTCAAATAAAAATGCTAAAAATCTACCCTAAACTGTGAAAATCCAAGATAAAGCTTCCAGTACACACAAACTTACAGAAGATAAAGCAACTTCAAACGCAGTCTGCTGAAGGTGAGGGACATGTGCTTCATGTCACGACCTGGCACTTTGTATATAGCCCTACACGTGTGCGTTTGCTCCAGAGCTCAAAGGTGGAATTCATCTCTCCATAGACTAGGTGCCAGAAGTAAGCTAGTCTTCTAGGTCCTTTAGCCTCTGAACACCAGAATCTCACTATTAGAGGTAGAGGCATAGGCACCTTCAGAAGACAGTTGATCTCTACTGAAAGGCAAATGAGCTCCTTTCATCTGATGCTTTATTGCTTCATTGAACAAAGGGAACAGATACACCTAGCTCAGGCTAGCTGCTGAGCTTTTTACATGATGCAAAATTTATTGATCTATGTTCCGGAAAAGGGCAGTTTTGCTCACCAAACTCTTTTGTATATTCAGGTTGAATAGTATGGTCAAAAAAGACACCTTTTTTTTTTTTTCATGTTTGGGTTTGTTTCAAAATACCAAAGAATCTATGACTTGCTTATGTGTATCTGCAGATGAGTGTGAGAACACAGATGTTTTATTAGGTCTTTAAAAGTCTTGATGCTTTTAAAGCATGAAAATATCAGGGTGTGAGGTAATTAAAATTCAAAGGAGCTTTCAGATATGGGTAGTAGCCTCTCCTGCCCTGGTAATATTGATAAGCAGTATTGCTTTAATTAAGATCCTCATCATGAAATAATTTTTTACTTTAGAAAAATTACCATAGCACTTTTCATTAAGTAGGTAGCAAAAAATAAAATAGCTGAATCTCATTGATGTGGTGGACAAAGCAGTTTAAATCTTTGGTTGAGAGCGCTGCCTTCTGGTGGGATCTGGTAGTTTTACAACATGTTGGCTGGACACTGAGGGAGGTGCTGTATGTGGTCATAACAAGTTTCAGATGGGAGTGTTAATGCATCATTAACTAGATCTGTTGATCTTCAAATTCATCTGTGCTGAAAGGTAGATATATGTTTATGGATATTAATGTAGTTATTTCCAGAATGACAGCCACGCTTGAAGTAATCTGCAAATGGCTTGAGTTTCTGATTTTCTCCTTTCTCTTGGAGGGTATTAAATAGTGAAATATTTATTGATGAATGAGATGTACCTGTGCATTAACTATCCTGTGCAATTGACTTATAAATCAAAAATTATAGCTTAAGACATGGTCTAGTACTGTAATACTTAGCTAATACTTTGTCACAGTTTCCTAATTTGTATAAAAGCTTATTCTGTTTGTTACTGTGTAATAAATTGTTGTCCACAAAATGATCTATCTGTGCATATGTAGTTGCTACATTCTTCTACTCCTCCGAGTTTAAAAAGCCCAAAACTTTATTAAAACAAAGCATATAATAAAATAATTTCCTTAACAAAAAAAGAAGGGGAAATCAGAGTTATGAGCTTTGGCTCAAGTTAAACATTATCTGCACCCTGGGCCTGTACAGGTTTCTCAAACTATGCACTTCAAATGCTTGTCTGTTTGCAGGTGCACTCCGTCATGGCATGGGAAGGGCTTCCAGGAGCAGCAGTGCTGATGTGTGAGTAGCTGTCTCCTGGCATGATTTAAAACTAACTGTGGGCAGTCAGCTGGTACATTACAGTGGAATAGCTGGTCAGCACTTGGTGAATTTTCTGCTACTGGGGAGCTCTGACATATGTTGACTAGTTCTCCAGTTTAGTACATGGTCCAATGGTATGCAGTCTTTGTCAGCCTAGGTAGGTTTGAGGATCGATACCCAAGATGCGTGAGATGTAACTACATATGAACATGGTAAAGGGAAGATCACAGAACTGTAGAGTTTGGAGGGGGACCCGTGCAAATCGTCTGACAAAACTCTACCTGTGGCAGTGGGGTCTGTGGAGGAAAACTTGATTGTTCTAAGCTCTCCTTAAAAAGGGAATGGTGATGAAAAGGCATCTTCTTATTGCATCACTGCCTTTAGGGACTGCTTTAACTGTTTTAATCATTGGTATTAAGGGTGAAATATTCTGGTTCTTAAGGGCAAGCTGTAAGAGGCATCCCTTTCCTTTGGCCCATATCCAGTAAAGCACTTTAAAAGTTCAGCATGCATAAATTAAGTGAACATTTAAATCGCAGTGAAATCAGTGGGATTAAAATAAGTGACTAAACCTAGGCATTTGTTAAAGCTCTCTTTGGCTTGTGATGCCCTTTCTGAATTGAAGCTTTGGGTGGTTTTTTTTCCTGAAGTGCAATTGTTCAGGGAAAATATTTATTTTTTCTTGAAGTATCTGCTAGGCTAAGTTACTTTGCTGTCTGCTTTATCCATAGCTGTAGTTTTTTGTGTAACATAGGTGTTTGTTATTCGGTTTTGGGTGTTGAATAGGTTTGGAAGAAAGTTTTTAAGGTAATCCAAATAAGATCAGGTTTCTCTGGCAAAGGAAGAGTTCAGAAAGGCCAATATGCTTCTTCCATTTCCCCTCCCCACACTGCAGTAAGGTGGGGTAATTTAAATGCAAGAAGCTATTGTTAATGCAGTATTAAGCTTCTGAGAGTGATCCTATTTCTAGTGAGTGATAGGAATAGAGGAGCATGAGAGGCTTATCAAGAAAGAGGTCTTCAAAATTAATGGCTTAGGATTCATCTGGTCTTTTGGTTTGGCATTTTGAATTTCCTGTCCTTGGCATTTGCTGACTATGCTGGCCCTGCTCTTCTCCAATCTATAGAAGACAGTGCTGGGACTTAACATGGCACCAACTGCCACTGGCTTTGGGTAAGCATCCTCTTGTGTATTTCTGTGTTGTGGCAAACCACCAAAGGAGATCTGTACCATTACAAGCAGTAAGACATTTGTATTGTCCTATAGGAGCATCTTTCTCTGCTAGCCTGCTGCATTTTGTCTTCTCCACTTTGTACAAGTTCTGTAGGGCAGAAGATTTCTCTCTTGAGGTGTTTCTTGAATAGTACTCTAAAATCATGGTGCTGCTGGTAGGTGTAGTAGGAAGGATTTTACAGTTCTGCATAAGTCTGTTCTAGTGCACTGTCAACCATTTGTCACACACTGTGGGAATGTCAGAACAGTTGTTACATTGTGAAGGCATTAAGTAGCCAGAATATAATTTTGAAACTCAAGTTGACCGTGGTTAGAAGTATTCACTGACGTAATTCTCTGACCTGATTTTTGGCGCAGCTGAGATCTGAAACCTTCTTGTGGTAGAGATGATCAGCTGGTGTTCCTGGATTGCAGTATTTAACGCCAGAGGTCACAGAAACCAGTGAACTTCGTACCTAATGTTGAGATTGTGGGAAGACGATAGCCAAATACCATGGGTAAAGTTTTATCCTCAGTCTAGGTCATGTAGTGCATTGATCTAATGGAGTTTTTCAAGTTTTCCTTGCCCGGGATGAGACTTTGTTATTTCTCTCAAAATGCAACTATTTGAACAGCAGGAGGTATTTGAATAGTTCCAACTTTTGAC